TTTGCCACAGCCATTCAGCCTCTAGATGTTACTGGACCTTGACAGGATTCAATTCTGTTGCCATTTCAGCAGTGCTTCAGGGAACATGTTAAATGTGTCCTCACAGACTGTGTTAGTGTGCAGGGTCTGCCGTAACATGGGACCACAGATTGGGTGGAAGTCCCTTGATGCCTATTGGTGCGGTACTGGGCTCTGTCTTTGTAGAGCTCCACCCAGGACATCCTCCAGGAGCTGGTGGAGGGGTTCAAATACTCTTATCTCCCTGGACAAGGGGCAGGTGCATCAGGCCACCAGCAGCCAGCACTGGTCTGGGATAACTGTGGGCACATAGAGGTCTCCAAACTCAGTACCCCAAGATGACTGGGGTAGACCCAGATCCCAGACTGGAATCTGGCGACTCCCCTAGGGCCCTCCCAGGACTGTGCTTTCCCCAGAGCCTTCCTTTCCAAGTCAGGAGCCGACTAAGCCTCAGGTGGTTGAGAGGGAATGTCATGCAGCCCATGCTATATACTGTTCTTGGTTCTGACCTGCATGATCTTGAGTAGCCACTCAAATCCCTAACAGTTTGTCTCCCAACGTCTACAGTGGGCAAGTTTGCTGATGACTCACTGGGATAATGCTCTTAACACAGGCCATTAATACAGGGAGGTGCTATTGTTTCTCAGCTGACAGAATGCCTTGAAGTTGCCAATGGTTTATTGTTCCCCCCCAGTTCAAATTATACTTTTAAAGCCTAGAACGTTTTCCTGTGTGAGCACTCGTGTTCCTCCCCTTGCATCAGTTCCTGAGGTGATGGGAGTTTCTGGTCTGAGCTCCAGGCCCTGATCCTCCTGGTGGCTCATGGTGATGCTGCCAACTATATGTCCTTCTTTGTCCACTCGGTATGAAAAGGACTCAGCCCTGTCCCCTGATCAGGCCTGCGTGATGCTGACCCCAAGGCAGGCACAAGGGAGTACGTGGCAGAGTCCCTGGGCCAGCCTCCCAGGGAGAAGCATCTGCACTGCTCCCTTCCTGTGCACCCACCAGGCCTTCGCCACCCAGCAGGTGTTGGGCCAGCTGTCCCACAGGCGAGAGCTGCCCCCTCCTCAGCACAGTGCTGAGTCTCCCACCTGCTAGCTGTGTCTGAAGAATGTGAACACACCTCTCTGAGCTTCACTTTACTCTTCTGAAAGAGGGGTGGTCAGAAGATGAACCTCATGGGGTTATTGTAGGAAATCTTGGGATCAGCCACGGCAGATGCTTCCCTGGTGCCTGGCTCTGCAGAGGGGCTGCGGGGTGTCCTGGACATTCTCATGTTTGTCAGTTCTCTCTTCCCTATGGAGAAGCTCTCTGCCTCACTCCAATCAGTCCTTTGGCTTTCCTGAGTTTGGAAAACCAAGTGGAAAGCAACCTGTTTCCCCATTTGTAAAGGAGTTTTGAAATTCCATTCAATGGGTCTTGGGCCTTGTCCTTGGGGTAGTGAAATTAAGGATTTCTGAGCCAGCAGAGGAGCCCCAGGCCTACTCAGATATCTGAGAAGGTTCTGGTTGAGTTCATCTATTCAACAATATCTATTAAACACCTACTCCATGCAGGCACTTTCCTAGACACTGCAGTCATTCAGTGAATGGAGCAGGCTCAATCCTTGGGCCTCAATTCCAGTCTAAGAGTGGGACAGTCACTCTGGACGTCATAAGCAGTCATGTCCACAGTACATTAGATGTGATGCCCCCATGGCCTCTTCTAGATATGGATGCATCTTGCCATATTCCATCCAGGGTGACCGACTACAGGACCATCTAAGAATGTGAGTGGTCTTTTGGTGCAGAAGCGGGGCCTCCTATCTCCACAGAAGAGGCTGGGAGACTCTGGGAAATGTGGCTTGGGAGGAACTGACTGGCAGAACCCTGGATCTCACACAGGTTTTGATTCCCATGGGAGGGCTGAGGTCTGGGGGCTTGCCCTCCATGAGGATATGAGTCAAAGAGAGCTTTGGGTGGGGTCCCAGTCCCCCTGAGAAGCAGAGGGGAGGTGGACTGAGTGGGCCTTGAGAGACCCATCCCTTCCACAGTCCCATGTCACTCTCTGCCCTCTCCACATCCACCTGTCCTAACCACCACCACCGGGGCCCCAGATAGTAGGTGTGGTGAGCCGCCTGCTCACAAATCTGCCTCCAACCTCAGTCCTGATGCTCATGTACATGGGGGATGGGACCGGCTCTGGCCAGGCCCTCAGGAGAAGAGTGTCGGTGGGCAGATGAGATGCACATAGGCTCTGTTAGACCTGGTCAATGACCAGGCCTTCCACTGCAAGGACAGCCTGAGGGGTTGGTATGGGCTGGACCATCTTCAGGGTCCTCCACCCAAAGAAGGGTGCTGTGGGAGCATGGTGTGGAATGAAAGGCCAGGCTTCTGACTCTGCTCCACATGACTCTCCCCAGTGCCCTCTCTCTCTTCCTGGGCACCTGACTAGAACAGTACCTGCAGAATTCCTGGTGGCCCCTGCACTGTCCCCTCTTCAAGCTAAAGGAGCTGTATGTGTAGGTCACCTTGCCTGGCTCGGACCTGGATTGCTGTGACCCTCTTCTGGTGGTCCACTTGGAGCTTCCAGATATCACTGAGGCAGAGCCACAGGGTAAGGGGGACTGCAGGCAGGGAAGACTATGTGGGATGGGGTTCACAGGCTCGGTATTCCTATAAGGGCAGTGGGATCTTTCCTGTTTGGGGAAAGACACATGGAAAGTCAGTTATGTGAGTGAACCTTTCTCTTTATCCTGCTCCAGTGCCAGCTCCAGGTCTCCAGGCAGCTGCAGAACCACAACAGTGGCCAGGTCTGGAGGTAGAGCCAGCTCCAGCTCCAGCTCCAGCTCCATTGATACCATCACCTATAGTGTCGGAGCCAGCATCCCTGCCATCAGCAGTGTTGAAGCTGGAGCAAGGACCAGCATCAGCTCCAGTGGGAGTGGCAGCTCCTGAGCTGGAGTCACCTGGACCACCAGGTCTAATGGGAATTCCATCACCAGCTCCAAAGATAGAGCCGGCTTGAAACCCAGAGCCTTCCTGCCCCAGGCCTGTGGCCAGTAAGAACCCACCAAGTGAGGAGAAGCTCAACCTCAGGGCCTTCCCTCCTAAGCTGCTGGCGGAGTAATGATCATGATGATTGCGGTGAGCAGCTGGTCTCTCAGGGTGGGGTGGGGCAGGCCTTCCCTCTGCCATCATTGCCCCAGATCTGGTCCAGACTCCTATGATCTGGGCCCAAATCCCAGCTCCACCCATGACTAACCATACGATGTGGGCAACTTTCTTAACCCCCAAGCCTTTGCTGTCCACCTGCAGACTGTAGAGGTGGACACTAACAGGACCTGCTGCACAGAGTGGCTGTGCTGTCAATGAGGTAGAAGAAGTAGAAAGCTGGGTGGGTCCTGGCCCCTGCTGTGGGGAAGGGGAACTCACTGTGTGCGGTAAGGTCCATGGGTGGCCCAACCATTTGCTCAGGAGGCTCAGCACTTTTTAGACACCTGATGTCTACTTAACTACAAAGGAGACATACAAAGCCAGTGGCTGTAGCTGCCATGGGGGAATGTGCATCAGAGTGGGGAGTGGGACCAGAGGGCAATCAGGATGGTGGAAGATGCCCCCTCGGGATGAGCCGAGTTGAGCTGCCATCTGGAACTCGGAGTTAGCCAGGATGGGCTGGGTGCAAATGCCCTCTCCCTTCCCTGCCACTGTTGGGTCCTGGGTCATCCTGTGCTGAGTGCCTTCAGTGGACAGAGAATACAATCCAGGGACTCCTACAGGGCTCAGGCCACACCCTCAGTTTCCTGAGCTCCAGCTCTGAGCATCCTGCTTGGGACTTTGGGGGCTGTAGACACAGAGCTGGGGTGTGGCAGGGCCAGGTGACACTCCCCCTGCTCCCCAGGAGCTCTTCAGGAAGGTGGTGCCCTCTCAGTGCCTGGGCTCCTCCTGAGGCAAGAGGATCAAGCTCGGGAATGAGCACCTGGCACCCACCGTCCGGGCCACCACTGACCACTTCCAGAGGGTAGTCAACTTCATCACAATCACCTGCCTAGGGGACCCAAGCAGGACAGCCTCGGACAGGGCCAGGGTGGTGGAACACTGGATCCAGGTGGCACAGGTATGCACAGGCCAAGTGCAGTCCCTCTCTGGGGCCTTGGGAACTACCTCTTCACCTTTATCTGTTCTCAGTATTGAAGTGTGTTGTCCAAGCCCCTGCACAGTCCCCAGGCCCTTCCTGCCAGGGGCACACTGACTTGGACTCCAGGTCCCAGCAGTAGGATGTGCACTTCCTACCTGGCTCCTTCCTTGGGTAGAGCTAAAATCCTGCTCCCTGTGAGTGTTCCTCTTTGGGTCCTAAATATGCCCTTCTGGGGCTCCCTGAGCACCTGTGTCATCCAGGAGCGGAGATTTAAATTGAAGGGGACTGAAGCCAGAGCAAGTGGGGCCCCAGTGCCCCACCGACAGCCCATTCTCTTCCCGTTCCCGGGAGTGCAACATCCTAAAGCTCCATAAGTCACCTGGAGAACACATGGGATGAAGTTTCCTGGTGGGTAGGCCTCTCTCCCTAGGGGGATCAGGGTGGGTGAGGGACCTCCCATATGTCTGCCATTGCCCCCTCAGTCACCTGGGAACTCCCAGGAGGCAACAGACCCTGGGGACAGGGCCTAGGCCTTGCGGGGCAGGGGTAGGGGTCTCTAAGCCTCCTAGGGTCCTTAGTGCACCAGTTCTGCTTCAGGAATGTTTCCTTAAATGACAGGTACTGGGTTGAGCCAAATTGGAGGTTTTCAAGTGTTTACAAACAGAACTCTACACCCAGCTGAAACTCAAACTGGTCAAAACAGCTGCTCAATGGAAATGGGAATGGAGGCCCCAGGTGGCCCACAGGAGAGCCCATCCCCGGTCCCATGGAGACTTGAGTGCTTGGAGGAGCCCAGTGAGAGCACTCGTGCAGGCTGTTTGAATCTCTCGGGTTTTCAGAGAAAAGGGATTCGCACTCAGACCCCCGACATTATTCCTAAATTTATCCTTCCTTCTTTCCCTCCCCTCAGGGAGAGTCTGAAAACTTTAAGGAGCTGTATACAAAAGACAAATCCTTGAGCAGACAACTGATGACCAAAGTAGAGTGGAGGCTGGAGTCTGGAAAGAGAGAAGGGTGAGGTGGGAAGGGGGACGGGGCAGGGTGTGGCTTTGATAGTTTCTCACTTAAACTTCCTCTGAAAATTCCAGTCTGTCTTGTCCAGATTAGCAAGAGGAGGGATCTCTTTGGTCCACAGGCAGGTGGGCTGAAGTTTGTGGGCAGGGGGCCCTGGTCATGGGACATGGTGGTGCTGGCTGGGCTGGCACACAATCAACACATCTCTGGCTTCTGTGCAGGTCCCACCTGCTGGACTTAGCTTCTTCCTAAGTGGTTGGGGTGGGTTTAGCCCTCAGCCTAAGCCAGGCCCCCGCCGCTTCTGCTGCCTTCACCATGCCTCCAAGGGGGGCAGCCCGCCCGCCCCAGGGATGGGCACAGCAGGGATTCCCACGGGCCAGGTGGACAAACAGGCTGCTCAGCCTTGGGTCCAAATGGCTGGACCAGAGACAGATCCGGGTGTATTCTGGAACTCGCCACTGGGCCCCTCGAGCAGTCACAGCCAGTCAGTCACAGGAGTCCCACCTGAGTGCCCAGCTGGCAAGGACACATGTCCCAGGTGGCTGAGGAGAAGTGTCTGGGGACCTGATGGATTCTGGATTCTTAGTGGATCCTTCCTGAACAGACATCAGAAGCTTCATGTAAATGAGGGAGCAAAGTGTCCTGTCACCCCCTTCCCTGTTGATCAGAGGTGGCACCTTGGGGTCCACATCCTGAGTGGATGAAGAAAGAGTTCTGTTCCAGGGAATGTCCTGAGGGGCTCCTTAGGAAGTGCAGGCTTTGGCGTGGCCTCCGTTCCAGCCTGGGGGCCAGACTCTCCAGGGCCTGGGCCAGGCAGGAGCCACTCACCCAGGCTCCCAGGACACCCCGCCCTCTCCATCCACGTCTCGGCCGAGGACACACCTGAGAACTGAGGGCACAGGGCTCCGGTCAGGGGTGGGATGGGGGTTAGGTGAGCACATGGGAACAGGGCCTCTGGCTGGGAGGGGCAAGTGGCCTCTCCTCTGTGGCCCTGAGCAGCTCGCTGCCCCTGTTGGGCCTCTGTCTCCTCATCGGGGAGATGCAGGGATGATGGTCCTGTGGCACAGGCCTCAAGGGGGGTGATGGGCTAAAAGCGGGGAGAGGAGCATGCGGAGCTTTCTGCCCTGCTCCCCCTGGAGGGGTGAGGGGAGGGCAGTGATGACGGTCATGGCACGAGTCCTCAGAGACCCTGTGAGGGAGGGGAGGACTCACCCTTTCCAGACGAGGAAACAGGCTCAGGGAGGCCAGACCAGGCCACACTTAGAGTGACAGTTGGAGCTGGGCTTGTTCTAGAATCCTAGCACACTGGAGGTTGGAGTAGCCTTGGTGCCAGCTGGTTGGGGTCAGATGTCCAGGGTCAAAGGCCGGTGGTGCTGGGGAGAAGTTGGGGGAGGGGAGCATGGCCTCACTGACTTGTCCTCCATCCTGGCAGGAGGGGCCCTCCACGTTTGCCACCCTGCAGTACACCCCCAGAGAGTCCAGAGCATCAGGTGAGGGTACCTGGGGAAGGAGCTCTGCCCACCCAGCCGGAGGCCTCAGACTCAGAGAGCAGGGCCCTGGCTCCTGCAGCCCTGCCTCCTGGAGCCACAGTGCCTGAGTCCCAGTAGAGGTGACAGGAGGAGGCCCTGGAGAGCTGGTGCAGGATGGATTTGCGGTGGGGAGGGCCAAGGACCACGTTCCCTGTCACTTGTGGGAATCTGGCCCTGGGAGGTGATAGGAGGAGTGCGGGGTTCTTGGGGTGTGAAGGGAGGGAGTTGAGGGGAGGCTGCTAAGTGTCCTCGGCGGCTCCTCGTGGGAGCTCAGGGGTGGGCCAGGACGCCGAGGGGAGGACTTTTCAGGGGAGGGTCTGCGGGGGACTTGAGAGCAAGGGCTCATCCCCTCCCACCCAGATGTCACAGGGCGTTGTCCCCTTCTTGGCCTTTCCTTGGTGATCTGGTGATGCTGCATCTGGTGATGGGTGACTATCAGGAGGTGAGTGAGGGTGGGGACTGGGCAGGGGCACCCGGATCCTGAGGCTTGGGGTGTGGGATCCCCGAACTGAGCCCTGCGCTGTCAGCACCCAGCACATCTCCTCTCAGGGGAGCCTCGAGCCGCCCTGGGAGCCGGGGCGTCAGGCCCATCTCAGGGATGGGTGAACAGAGGGTCCGTGTGACACACCTGTTCCGTCCCCAGGCTGGTGAGGCAGCAAAGCCACCTGAGGGAGGGCACAGCTGTGAGAGGTTTATGAGCTGGACTCAGCCTCTCCCTCCTGCGGGGCCCACAGTGGGACAGAGAAGTTGGGCCCCTCCAGTCAGGCAGCAGGTGAGTGGCTGAGCTGTCCCTTCTGCCTGAGGCCGCAGCCTCCAGGTCTGTCATCTGAGACGGTTGGGCTACAAGGTCCCTCGGCCTCAGCCCCATGTCCTCCTTCTCTGGAGCCCAGAGCCTGGCCCAGGTACAAGGCCTGCTTTCTCTGAATGCCCAACCCCTCTGGGGACCTGGCGGTGGTACCACATGAGAAAGAGGGGGGGGCATAGAGCCTAGTCATGGCCAGGGGCTCTCTCTGATGGACTTGGCTGTCTGCCTTCCAGGGGAAGGAGATCAACCTCGAGAAAAGGACTGAGGTGAGCCGCTGGGGCACCCCCTGTGGGGGAGGGGAGTGGAAATCAGAGACCCTCAGGGCAGAACAGTCCCCGGCTCCATCCCCTGCACCTTACATGGATGGGGAGGGTTTGATAACAGAAGTGAGAGACCCATCTAATTGGCAAGTGGTTTGAGGGGGCATGGCATCAAGGAAAACTTCCTGGAGGCGGGGCTGATTATCCCATTCTGACAACAGGTGGAGCTGGAGGGAACTGGAGGGAAGGAGGGTTCTCAGGCCTGGTCCCCTGCCCCACTCCTCACCCCCTCAAGGCCCCTGCAGCATCCCCCACCCAGGCCCCATCTGCGTCCTCTCCTTCCCTCTGGTCCCAGGACTACAGAGCCATGAGGGAGAGCCTGCTGCTCCGGATGGCTGCAAACAATTACAGGCTAGAGCCCGAGGAGTGATTTGGGGCCTGGTTCCGGCACATGGAGCTGCTCAGTGGAAATGAGAGCTGAGGCCAGCTGGAGTCAGGGGAGGGCAGAGGTCGACTTTCCCTGGTGACCAGTCCAGAGAGCCCATGTTCATGGCCCCTGGTCAGCCCCAGGCCTTGTTGCATGGTAATCTCTGGGACACCCAGACTCCAGCTACTGGCAGGCAGTGGGGGGACACCTGAGGTGTGGCTCTTGGTCAACTCTCAGTGCCTCTCTGTCCTGTAGCTGCAGCCTGTCCTGCTAGCTGGAGCCCCTAGTCTGGTTGGCCAGCAGAATACTCAAGGCCGAGAAGAAGGGGTCATCATCAAGTTCAGGCACGAGTGTCTAGACTGGTGGTGACTAAATCCTAGGGGTTTAGTGAAGCTTCAGGCTGAGTGTGGTCTTGGGGAGTCAGACAGCTGGCGCTGGGAGCCCAGCCCCACCACTGACCAGTCCTGTGACTGGGGAGATTCCCTTCAGCTTCCTGAGACTCAGTTTACTCCTCCGTGAAATAGGTGATGGCAAATGATCACTCATGTGGCAGGGACAAACGGGGTACTATTGGCTGACTGAGCACAGGGCCTGGAGCACAGAGTGCAGTGGGGCTGGGGAGGGGGGCCGTGATTCTGGGAGAGGCACCTCAAGATAACCTGACTCTTCTATTCAGCCACCAGAACCCCAACACTGAGCCCTGTACCACTGGCAGATCACAGCCCCATCCTCAGCAGTGGGGACTTGGCTGGGATGCTTGGCATGCACTGGGCCAGCTCCTCCTGCCTGATGGGAAGGGGAGCATTGTAAGCTGATTCCTGATTCCTAGGGTCCCCTGAGACCCGGGAGAGAGGGGACAACCCTGCCCCATCTGCCTGACATCTCTACCCCGGCACCTATTTACCTATTGAGGAGGGACAAGATTCATGATTGTAAATAGTAAATGTTAGATATGAATATTATAACAAAATCTTGTCTCTTTCACAGCCTGGGCGTGGTGGTGTGGTTCTTTCACTTTCTGTGCTCATGTAAATCAAACACAGAATCTCACATTCCCCCTTGAATTCAGAAACCTTGCAGAGTCATCAGCTTATTGTATGTGGGAGAAGGGAGAAGGGAGAAGGGAGAAGGGCCAGCCCCTCCTTGGCTAGTGAGGACACTCCCAAGTCCCCCTCACTCAGAGGACAAGTTCATCTGAGTATCATTCACCTGTCCAGGAGCAGAGACAGCCCCCCAGATCTCCCGGACTTTAGAGGCAGAGCAACAGCCACTGAAATTGGGGTGTCTTTAAAAATAGCCTGAGCTGGGACCACCTTGTGCCCCAGAACACTAGCTGCCTTTCTACCCTCTGGAGGAAGAGGAAGCATCTTTTGCTTGTCCTGTTGAGGTTTCTTTTGACCAGATATTAGGAAAGTAGTTTCCTAGTTCAATTGCTGGAATTGCATCAGCTCTAAGTGGGGAAAATACTGTAAAAAGCTCAAATGTGCATGGAGAGGATGAGGCCAGAGGAAGGTCCTGTGCAGATGGACTAAGGGCAGGCAGAACTCTCCCTTCTCGGGCCCCTCTAGGGGTTCCCTATTCACCCTTGACCTAGACTTGATCCTCCTGGGATTCTGGTCCATGACTCTGAATTCCTTTTCCTGCTTGTTTTCTTTCCAAGGGGAAACATTTACGATGCAGCTTTTAGGGCCCCAGCCGTGTCTTCCTCCATAAACCTGGTGCTCCCTTGAACTGGGATTTTCAGCATCCCTGCATTTCTCAAACAATTCTTTCTTAGGGCAGAAATTCCCTAGATGCCCCCAGCCTTTCTGTCATATACATCGTGGCCACTCCTCCCAGGCTGGGCCTGATGGATCCCAGGTGAGCTCTGGTTTGCCAGGATAACAGACCATAATCCCAACCAGAAATGACCCCACAGTCTCCCTTGCTGCCCAAGTTGGCTTCTGGGCCCATGTTGTTCTGAGGTCCATAGTCATGGACGGTCGACCAGTTTACACACTCAGTGGCGGTCGTACCACTTTATGTTAAAGGGGCCGCTAGGCCTGAGCCCATAAAGCATGTAGCCCTTGGGGTGGCTGTGTTCTTTTCCCAAGTCTCATGCTACAGTTACATTATGGGGGTGTGAGCCTTTCCTGTTGGGATCTTTGAAAGATGAGGCATGAAAGGGATGTGAGTAGAGTCCAGCAGGGAATGCCACCAAACCGATGATCCGTGGATGTGTATGGACACAGCCTTATCAAGTAAAATACTGAAAAGCTTCCCATCTGGGTGATCAACAGATAGTACTCTGCGGTCACCCTAAGACCCACCACCCCCCCATGACCAGGAGCTACAAACACCCCTCATGACTGGCATTTTGAACCTCATCCCTTGGAAACACCCTGAAAGACAAGGGCCAGATGATTTGCTTGGCACTTCTGAGTTATCCTCTCCTTCCTGATGGCCGCAAGTGTCACTCAGACACACGGAAGGCTGGGCCCTGCCAGGGAGGCCTTCTCAGGACAGCTAGAAGCTGAGGATAAATCCTGGTTCCCAGCAGCCGAGGCTCTTTCTGACATGGAACTGCCAACCAGGAAAGTGATTTGCTAAAGGAAAGACTAGGAAGGCTGTGCTTTCCCTCCAAAGAGAAAGAGGAGTGCCAGGTCCCAGGGCTGGCCCAGGGCTGGGAGGGAGGCATTAGTGTCTGAAGGGTTTCTCCTGCAGGACTGTGAGGCTCCTGAGAGGCAGCCCTGTATGAGTGACATATAAGCCCTGTGCCTTCCATATGGCAGAGGAGGTACAATTCATTGTCTCTGGTCATCCACTGGCCAAAAGTGCAGACAGTCATACAGAGGAGTCACCCATATTTGCAGTGAGGATCACCTATCAATCTTTTTTTACATTCTCAGGTCCAAAATTTGTTTGTTTGTTTTTTTTTTTTGCATTTTTATGTTTCTGTTTTTGAACTTCTCATTTTGTTCTTGTCCCGTTTTCTTCATTTCCTTACATTGTTCAGCTCTTGGAGCTGCTTTCAAATGGTTATTGTGATCTCTTCTTCTATAGTACATCAAGGATGTTCCATTTCATCCTGTGATCTCCACATTTTGGTCCATGTTAGAGCCAGTTAACTGATCAGACCGTTAGCACTCTTTGTACCCCTCAAAACACACCATTGAATAAAGAACCTCTGGTGAGTGGGACCAAATCAATTCATTCCACCAAATCAACTGCGTGTTCCTTCCTCCATTATCCCAACCCCCTAATAGCCCGCTTCTTCACAGTTGTCCATAGGTTTCCATCTATGCGACC